CATATCTGGACGTAAAATTTTCCGCTCTTTCCGTTCCGCCATAAAAAATAGGGGTTTCCATTTAAAAAAATGAGGTTGACCTCAAAATAACCTTAAAAATGAGGTTCAAGGTCAAATCCAAGGTTACCATCGGATTCCTCGTAAAAAGTTACTTCAAGAACAACCTTCACCCGGTTAAAAAATTAACCGGCTTAGAAAATTTCTCAGGTGTATCGTTACTTTTTGGACACCCTGTATATATGACACGAATAAAGCGGTTATCCATGTCATTCTGTGTAATTTGAAATCTGCGCTCACACAAAAATTATTAAGATATTTGATTATCATAATTGATCCTTAAGAATGCTACTGAGATGATTATTTGAACATTTCGAGGGTTTTTCAAGCTAAAATATCCTTTTATGAGGGTGGTCCGATAAGTACTTAGCCTCACCACCTGATGGCGCCAATCTCGTAAAAGAAATATTCTATCACGTAGTACAACCTTCTCGATGGTCACTGTCAAGATTTCAGCCGGATCGGAGTTGTAGTTTATTTTTGAGAGCGTGTGAAAGCAAGTGTGTCCGTTGATTTTTGAAAAATGGAAAAAGAGCAGTATCGGTCGGTGATTCGATTTTTGTTTTTGAAAGAGAAATCGCGCAGCGAAATCAAAAAGCGCTTGGATGCTGTGTACGTTGACTCTTCTCCTTCGATGGCGACCGTCAAAAATTGGTTTAACGAGTTTCAACGTGGTTGCACGTCGATTTTTGAAGAGCCACGTCCAGGTGCTCCGAAAACGGCTACCACGGAGGATAACGTGACAAAAATTCACGATCTCGTATTGGCAGATCAACGATTGAAGGTGCGCGAGATAGCTAAGATCGTAGGCATCTCAAAAGACCGCGTGGGTCATCCTACATGAAATTTTGGGCATGAGAAAGCTGTCGGCGCGATGGATGCCGCGTTTGCTCACTCCGGACAACAAGCGCAACCGTGAGACAACTTCAGAGCAATGTCTGACGCTGTTTAAGCGCAATCCGAAGGAGTTTCTGCGTCGTTTCATGACAGTCGACGAAACATGGATCCACTGGTATACACCAGAGACCAAGGAACAGTCGAAACAGTGGACTTTACCCAGCGAAAGTGCAGCGAAGAAGGCGAAGACTGCCCCATCGGCCGGAAAGGTGATGGCCACCGTTTTCTAGGATTCACAAGGTGTGATCTACATCGACTACCTGGAGAGGGGCAAAACGGTCACAGGGCTGTACTATGCCGAATTATTGGGCCGATTCGACGTCGAATTACAGAAAAACGGCCCCATTTGGCGAAGAAAAAAGTGCTCTTCCACCATGACAACGCACCGGCTCACACCTCCGCCGTCGCCATGGCCAAATTGGTCGAATTAGGCTACGAACTGCTGCCCCATCCACCGTATTCTCCAGATTTAGCCCCGTGCGACTTCTTTTTGTTTACAAACTTGAAAAAGTCACTCGCCGGGCAGAAATTTGAATCGAATGAGGAGGTAATCGCTGCCACGGAAGCCTACTTTTCAGACCTCGAGGAAACGTAATTTTCAGACGGGTTAAAGAAGTTGGAGCATCGCTGGGCCAAGTGTATCGAACTAAAAGGAGACTATGTTGAAAAATAAAAGGCCACTTTTCCGAAATTTTCGTTTTTCTTTTGTAGGCTAAGTACTTATCGGACCACCCTCGTATGTATATTTGTCATGTCAGAATTAATGTCATTTTTTTGTGTCAGATTCCTTCTGTAAACAGCCATAGTCAGTCGCGCATTTTTTGGATTAGGAAGAGAGGATTACAAAGCAGTGTCAGTAATCCCATTAACATAATAGGGTGGATTAGCGTCGTCGCCTTAATTCCGCCTAATCCATTATTGGATTTTATATGTACGCCTTTCTTTTCTTTTTTCGATGTACATTTCTTTTTTTTTTCTTATTTGATTTACTATTAAAAGTCAATATCGATTTAATTGAATGTTATTTTATTTCGCCTATTACCAATTCTGGTCCTATCATTGGTTTCGCGTACAATTAGTACAGACGCTCAATATATTATTCAGCCGTCGAAGCGTTTAAGTCTCTCAATATATATATATATATATATATATATATATATATATATATATATATATATATATATATATATATATATATATATATATATATATATATATATATATTTTAATAGTTTGTGCGAACGACCGCGAGTATAATTAATCCTTGATTTTTTAGTCGTACTCCGTTACAACTAAATCGTCAACTAAAAATCCAGTAAAATTTTAAGAGTATTATTTTCTTCACAAATTATAGTACGCTTTACTAATAAAACTTATCAAACCTCCTGGTGTGACAGCTCTTATGCATTTTTCTGTATATCGAGACTTATAATGCAAAACCGTAATTATTTGACAACACCGATTTCTTGAAATTTAAATAGTAATTTCGGTGCAATCTATAATAGCTCTAACATTTCTATATTTATTAAAACAAGTTAGTATATTTTTTAATATTCCATTTCTTGAAATCCGTAATAACAACATATTTAAGAGTTACACTTAAAATATTATAGTTGAATTCATAATGTTTTTGACAGTTCTATATGTATGTACACCCAACGTGGATTAAATCGCGACCCCCCCCAGTTAGGTTGGTATGAGACTATGAGTGCTACTTTCAGTCCGTAACGGTGGTTTTCAGATCGGTCATAGTATAACGCTCGTTCTTAAATTATATAATTAACACCTAAAATCAAATAATCATGCATCTAAATTCATTGTTCGGCAAACAATTAATTTTAAACCTAAAAACAAATTAGTAACGTTTTAACTTTTTATCGTATCTTAAAACGAATTTTCATTTTTGAATTTTCCCGCGGTTTCTTCATTCCGATGCAACGACGGAATTCTCATACCAACCTAACTGTCGCGATTCAATTTACGTTGGGTGTACATCTTTTAAATATTATGCCTATAAAGGAATAATTCACATTTTTATTGAATTTGATTATTGTTAAAATAATATTTTGTTTTTATTAATTTACTGTTATTTTTATTATTAACATGAATCAAATCTACTAATTATACTAAATTATTTTAAACTTTCATATCTAAAATACCTGTTAGTGTACTCAAATCAGAATGATTTTTTATAAAGTTAATAAAAGCAGATTTACTTTCAATTTTTGAAAGCTATGCTTCTTTAGATATTGAGTTTCCTTAAAAGGGAGTTTGTCCCGACAACTCTTCCAAAAAGATCTGTTTCAGTACATTTTTTTCCACAGTCAACACATACACTTTTTGTTTTAGGCCTATATTTATACTTCACTGCAAATTTCAGGAGCTGTAAAAAGCACACAGTTGTCTTTCCTGGCCTACTTTTCTGATGGCTTACTGTGTTAATATTGAAAGACTTTTTGCATTATAAAAAACGTTAGATTTTGCCAAATTTAAACTGCGAGCTACAGTTTTACATCTTTTATTTAATTCAGGTAAAGCTATAATTTTTGAACGCTATTCGTTTCATAATGTCTCAAAAGGCTAAAATGAAGAACTGATAATAGAAACGAAAAATCATAACTTGCATGTCATATGAAAAATGTGAGAAAAATATTATATTTGTAAACAAATATTTAAAAAGTCTGGACATTCGGGTTCAGGTTGAAGAAATCGATTTTGCTACTACTAATCATATGTTTCGGAAATATATAACTTATGAAAATATTTTTATTCCTAAGACATTTTTTGTAAAGTATATGTATAGTGTTTGAAGAAATAGACTTTTTTAAAAAACGTTAAGAATTTTTTTTATGGAATTTAAATACGCTTGAAAAAATTTGCTACAAATAAAAATATATGTTAAAATTAAACTAGGAATATTCTTTAATTTTTTTAATTATGTTGATACATTTTTTGAATTTAAAATTTTGTGATTTGTAAAAATTATTTTGAATCACTGTGAAAAAATTAAGGGTATTCTTTAATTAATTTTATGATATTTTAGTTCCTGTATAAGTTTGTATAAAATTCCAAAGTTTCGAGAAAAGCATTGATTAATTTTTAGAAAAAATTTTTCATATGTTACTTTTTGGTTAAAACATAAGTTTTCATATTCATTAATTAGATTTTATAGATACTTATTATAATTTTCACGTTTATTATCATTTGGGAAGCCACTTAGTATATCATTGGGCTCACCAACTACAAGTTTAAGTAAAGTTTATTTCAAACTTTCATAACAAAAATCATTGTAAAATAGTATACTAAATGGAATTATCAAGTTCCATTCTTCATAAGCTTGCTAGTACTGAAGATATGACTTACAATGTCCATGTGTTTTTCGTAAACTCTTAATTGCCTAATGTCAATAACCACTGAGGTATATATGATTTATTTGAAAAACTTTTGATAAATGTTAAAAAGATCAATATTTATATAAAATTACAAAAAATTATGTGTTAAATTTAGCACAATTAATATCAATATAAAAAATCATATTTTGCTAAATAAAAGATGGAATATAAATGAAATATCAAATCAATTTTAATACATATGGATTTTTAATATAAATAGTTATAGATAGATTCTAATATAATATACCAAAGAAACTTAAATTGTTCATGTTAAATATTCATGCATTATAGGCATACAGAATTAAATTTGTGATGCATATTGGACTAAAAATAATAAAGTCAAAATAATCACTTATGAATTTACAAAAATAATTTTTAATTATTTATTTTAAGGGCTAGTTATTAATAATTCCTAAATAAATTCATTCAAACGCACATATATTTTTTGAGATTTATTTGAATGATCTATGTCATTTGACGAAACATTTTAAATGAATTGAAAGTAACGTATAAAATGCAATATATTTTTTATGAAAATATAATCTTAACTTCCTAATATACTTTAAAATAATAGCATCAATTATAAAAAAAAATTATTTCATATTCAGTATTACATATAAATATCATAGGGCATTAATAATATATGTGACATACATAAAATTAAAACTTTCTGAATACCGTAAGTAGCCAGCAAATTTCAGTTTGTAAACTTTAATTCTTAGGTTGATTTCTTGGAATGATGTGTTTTTTGATTTATTATTAGTATTTTAATTAAATATAGTTACATTTAATTATTGTTTTATTTCTTATAATACCACTGAGTATTGGAAGAAAATTACATAATTTTTATAATTTTATGTATACCTCATCGTATTCACAATCATAGTAATTTAATTGGAGTAAAAGAAAGGTGGCGCTGAGCCCTTTTAATTAGAAACACGTGTATTTTTCTCGTGATCACCAATCACCATTCAACCAGAGATTACGAGGTAGATTGCTAAAGATATGCTTGGCTGTCGCCAGCGATGAGCATTCGGTCACCCATCCCAAACTTCTTTTTCTCTTATTCGTAACGCATCTAGGTGTTTTACACTTGTGGCTGTTCTATCATTATAACGTGTCCGAATTCCGCGTTTCAGCTTAGTTTTGTCATAAAGAGGGAAAATAAGAAAATTCTCAATTGTACAATATATAGCTATTGTTTGGTCATCAGCATATTAAATTGATGTTAGCCTTGGGAAGTACTGATTATATATTTTCAAGTACAATTCGATATGTAGCCTATAAGTAAGAGTAAAAGTCCAAAGAAAGCGGTATTGTAACAAATATAATTTATATTCTTATACGATTTTATGAAGAATTAAGAAAAATGTAAACATATCATAAATTGTCAAATCCTAATTAGTTTATTCTTATTTGAGCTCTGTAAATTCATATAGGTCATATGGTAAATTTAGTAAATTATTATTCTTGTTTGAAACATTTTCTTTATTATAGCTAGAACGCAGCTGACAATAAATGAGTCAATAAATATAAGATAATTATATCTAGAGCGTAATACCGAATTGAAAAAACCCCGCAAGACGCCTATGGGAAAAGTGGTTTCGGTTAATTTGGCTGTATTTTTGATATGTTACCCATTTTAGCGTCCTGAACAAATGTCTCAATGGGCATAAAGCTCAAATCTCAATAGGTTCCAAGATAGGGCCCGCTGAAGTCAGTATAACAGGGTACCAGTGCTATACACTTTTTGTTGTACTCAGTACTGTGATTTCCATTAATATCACCCGATTTTCGGTTTCACATGTCTCAAATAAATACTTTAATTGGCCCGAATCCTACAACTTAATGGGCTCGAAGATTACCTCGGGGTCAAGGTCAAATCAAGGTCGAATCAAGGTTATCGCATTAATCTTGGGCTAGGGACCGTTTCTATATGTTTTTGAGGTCGATAAATCAGAATCCGGGGTCCGTTTCACTCGAGCAGGTCAGGTTCAAGGTCAGGTCAAGGTCAAATCTATAAAATTCATTTTAAACGAAGTGAAAAAGTACATTTACATATTTTTTGGGTCGCCAAATCCGAATCCGGGGTACGTTTAATCCCTCCTTAAACTTTGATACATTTGTACCTATTTTTATAGTGATTGAATCCGCAATTAAGTATATTTGTAAAATCATTCCACATACAGATAAAATGGAAGCAATATTAAAACAAAATAATCAAAATCCGTATTAGTCAAAATAAAAGGAGGGACTCTTGCCGTTTGCATTAGCATTACCCAGAGTTTACCACGTAGAGGCTGCAAAGTCGGACTTAAACTCCTTGGTCATCGTCAGTCTGTCAGTCATTATAGTTATTAAGTCTTGTCGAATCTGTCTATTCAACCGTTACTTTTGTTATCTTTTTAATATTTATAGGTACTGATCTTTTTAATCTTTTATAATCTTTTACAAATCTCTATTCTTCACCATCGATTATTAATTCGTCTTGATGTACACCATCATCATTATTTCTGTGGCTGCATCTAGAATGTATCTAAGAAGCGTTGTACTAGGATATTATATGTTCTGTTCATATCGAGCCCACCCAAGAAACCATAGAATACTTTCAATATGTACACAGCAACCTAAAGTCCTTGCCCCAGCCTTACAGGTACAATAATATCCTAGTATAACATCACCTTCATCTTCATCTACCATTCGATCATCTTCAATGTCTACTCGAAAAGTTATCCATAATTGATAGCGAGTAGCATTTCTAAACCGAGAGTAGATTCTAATTCTTAAGAAGCCTGGTACATCTCTATTTAGATCAAGTTCAAAGACATCAGAAGTTTCATGTTCGAATTTGTCTTGCACATACGATGGAGCTAATTTGAGTTGATATGGACCGAGGGTCAATCAGCGTAAATATTGTAAATGCAATCGAGGAAATTCAGGAACGTGTTCCTGATTTAAACGTTCCCACGTGGTATTTCTTCTAGCAAGATTATGCTCCTCAACTAACGCTTGAACTACGTTTACATCATTTAATCGAGTTCTAATCTGTCGTGCTAGGGTAACAGTCTTATCTATCATTAGAAGCGGTACTCGTTATTTATTTATCAACACTCCAGCAATTAAGTAAAAATCTCTTAAATGTAAAACATGAGCTTTTGAAATAAGTCCGTCTAGAAACTTGTAAATGGATTTTAGATGACCGTTTCGGGCTTCAACTACCCATCATTACATGGTTACCATGCGGGCGCGATTAGCCATTTCAGTGGGGAGTTGACGATTGCCTTCAGTAACAGATGGCATGTGGACGTTGTATCGTTGATTCTGCAAGAACTCGACTGTATCCCGATAACATCGATCCACAATAAAAATGTCTCCATCTTGAAACCACTCATTAATGTTACTGACATCATTTTGAAACTGATCAATTAATATCGAGGCATCATTGTTTCTACCATCTGCAAAATACGGTCCTTGAATATCGAGAATGTAACCGTCAGGTGCAGTGACCATAACAGGCTTTACTAAATAACGTCTATTGTGTACCGAGTAACTTTGTCTTTAGGTTCGGTAGTTTCCTGATTTTTCGATGTAACTATACGTTCCATCTACAATTGAAATGGCTTTTAAATCATTTGGATTATCATTGTACAATTCATTTGCAAATGGAGTGACGTGCCGTGCGATATGATCCTCACGATTTATCGCTTCAAGACCAATTTTCTCACGTACAAATCGCATCATCATCGCTGTTCTAACTGTTCTAATTAAATCACTAATTCCCTGTCTACTTTCATAGTTAAATAAAATCTTTAGAAAATCATCAGCAAGTCCATGACGCATTTTACATAAAAAAATAAAAAGAGATTTTTTCGTTATTCGGTGGAAATTAACACCTCCAGGTACAGGAAGACAAGATTCGTGTAAATCATCAAGTTGAGCTTTCGATAAGGATGTTAGATAAGTATGGTTTCTGTCGGTTAAAGAGTCAGGATCAAGGTAGTTCTCACGACCTCTTACAGCCGCTTCTCTGAATAGCGTAAAAAATCTACTAATTTCTATTCCAGGTAAAATTATAGGACGATTTAAATGTTGCAAGCGAGCATAGTATTCACTTAAAAGAAAACCATTTTAATCAAGGTGTTGCAAGCAGATTCGAGTTGCTAGTGGAATGTAAATGCTTCTATCCAAATATATTTCTACGCGTGCCTCAATACTAAGCCGCTGCATATTATTATTTAAGCCATTACAAATCATACATGTTTCGGTAGATCTTTGTCTAAGAACCTACAACCGAAGATGCTGAGGGTTTTGTAAGGCCTGTTGATCACGTGTAAGTAATAAGTCACAATTGAAACACACACGCGAAAGATAATTATCTATCTCAAGAGCTGGATGGTTAAGCTCCTCACGGTACGTTATAACGATCCGCCTTTTTTCATGATTGAAGTTTCGCATAAATCGCGTGGTGCGAGGAGGAAAAGCTTCATCACATACATAACATACTACACGTCCCGCCATGTTTTATATAGAGGTAGGATGGACAATTTTTTCCTGGTAACTTTAACTAATACAGTATTATTTGTGGTAAAATGGATATTGGGATCAGAAGTGAAATAATATTTGAAATTATTTTTAAATGTTTATTATGAAAAAATATAAAATATACAGGTGTAAGATCAAGAAATATTTAAGTAAATACATTAAAACTAGCGTAAAATTAAGTAATCGGACTACTATACTTTGATATTAGAAATATATTTATTAAATCACTAAAAAAATATACTTCTAGATTTTAAAATCGTACAAAATCAAAGTAGTTTGATATACAGGGTGGACCATTTTAAGTGAGCCAGTACGTTTTCTCGGAAACTAGTGGGGATAGCGAAAAATGTTTCAAACTAAAGTTGTCCAACTTGGAGGGGGACATACCCTCATGACCTTGCCTGTGTCCTTGGATGTAAGGTTCAAGGTCATTTCAAGGTCAACTTTATTTTCTTAAACGGGACCTCCTATTTTTGACCCTGAATTTGGAAAGAACGGGAAATTCTACGTTCAGATGACCTATTATACGTGGGGTCTGGGGTGACCCTCAAGGTTATTTGAAGGTCATTTTTATTTTTTTACGAGTGTAAGATTTACGAAAAATAGTTTCATACAAAAGTTGCTCAACTTGAGGACATACCCTTATGACCTTGCCTGTGACCTTGGAGGTCAGGTTCAAGATTATTTCAAGGTCAACTTTGTTTTTTTAAACGGGGCCCCTCATTTTGACCCCGGATTCGGAAAGACCGGAAATTCTACTCAACGTCTTGTTTAGCCCTCACGTGTGCGGTCTATGTTGCCCTGTTTATTCATGGTCGTAATGTGATGAAGAAGATAAGTGATTAAAGTATTTTAGATTTACTATTTATTTACCAAATTAATCAATTGTTAATTACATGTGAAATATTTTACAGTAAGTGTTCAAAGACATTTCCTTCTCCTTGAATACATAATTCAATTCTCCGATGAAAATTATCTACTGTCCTTAGTAGTACATCCTGCGGTATGTTTTGACATGCGATCCTGATCCTATCCATCATGTCTTCTCGGGTAGTTGGTTGTTCTTGATAAACGACATTCTTCAAGTATCCCCATAAGTAAAAGTCAGGAGATGTCAAGTCGGGAGATCGTGGTGGCCATGCAACTGGTCCACCGCGGCCGATCCATCTACCATTGAATCTGTTGTCCAGGTAAGCTCTAACATTTCTGTGGAAATGCGCAGGAGCTCCATCTAACTGCATCCACATTCTCAGTCTTGTTTGGAGGTTAACTTCTTCCAGTAGTGCATCTACTTCATTTTGTAAAAATCGAGAAAAGTTTTCCCCATTGACATTTCCCTCAAAAAAGTAAGGTCCAATCACATGTCCATTGATAATGCCACACCACACGTTGACGCTCCAACGATGCTGATGATCTATGTGTCGATGCCAATGAGGATTTTCAGC